TGTTTAGATTATGTTTATAGAGCTGAAACCAAGTTTTTGTGTGTGTTGCAAAATCTATGTAGCGTGGCTATGTAACTCTCACTTATCACTGTCCTTTAAAAAAAGCATGTAATGTACTGAGGAGTTCCTGACGAGCTCCGTGTGTCTTTCGGCTGTGGAGTATTTGAAATAAAAATCTCTACCATGCAAAGTTTTTTTGCATTATATATTATATTTATAAAATGTCGGCGCCATCATTTAACTAGGTCGTGGACTTTGAATATTAATTAGATACAAATTGCGCATAAAGGTATAATATTTCTGAGTGAAAGCCTGCTGACTGAACTTCATATTTACTTTTATTTTGAAAACCCACTCTTCTTTTCGAGGCTTCGCGTGGGCTCTTATTGTGAAGGCTGAGCTCTGCGCCTCGGTGTGAGGTGTGGGTGTTTGGCTGGAGTTGATGCGGCCACAGGCTGCAGTATTTATAACACGTGAAGCCGTCGCTGAAGCGGAGTTCCGCTGCTTCCAGAGAGCCGCTCATCCACCGCTGCAGACCTCACTCTGATCCCGGTAAGCCGACCGATGAGCACCGCTGTTTGTTAACCCTCTGTACCGGACCACCCCAGCCTCTTCTCATAAAAGCTGGATTTTAAACGGGACCGAGTAGCTGCTGCGGGGTTATTTTGTACTTAAGTATTCCAGTTATTAGTCTTTAATAAGTATTGCAGATTTTTAGTTACTTATTTACTTTATTTAATAATAAATAAACACGCAAACTCAGAGCAGGTTACATTTTGGTTCCTGTAGCTCTCTTCCTCTCTTACACTTGCAATGATTTCATTTACACTTAATCTGCAAAGCAGCATTTTGATATCCGGAGAGGAAACTAGGCTTAAAGTTGTCCGGGGCGTTGGCTGTCTGTGTAATATGTGTGTGTGGCTGTCTGTGTAATATGTGTGTGTGTGTTAGTGTCAGTGTGAGTGCGTGTGAGCTACAGTTACATGCTGACTTGTGAAAGCCTGAGCTGCTCCTGAAATCTGTTTCCAGTTAGGAAGTCTGACTTTTTTTTTTGTTTTTTTCGTCCAATGATGGAACCTCTGAGGCCAAAAAATGCCTCTCAGAGGTCAATTAAAATTCTTGTACTGCTATTTTTCATTGTCCAACGTTTATGCGTGTGCGTGTAGCCATGTAATTGATGCATATGCTCTACCAGCTGGATTCAAGCTCCCCGGACTTTTTTCTTTGGTACTGGTGTGTTAACAGATGTATCAAAAATGCCATGCAGGCTTCAGTTCTAAAAATAAAGCTGAAATACTGACACGTGGTTAAATAAACAGTCACAATGTTATGTTGGTATGGGGAAATGATGCCTTTTGTTGCTGGATGATGGAGT